TTGTGGTTTTAATTTGCATTTCTCTGATGATCAGCAACATGAAGCATCTTTTCATGTGCCTGTTGGCCATTTGAATTTCTTCTTTGGAGAATTGTCTAGTCAGCTCCTCTACCCATTTTTTAATTGGCTTATTTGCTTTTTGTTTCTTGAGGTGTGTGAGCTCTTTATATAATTTGGATGTCAACCCCTTATTGGATATATCATTTATGAATATATTCTCCCATACTGTAGGATGTCTTTTTGTTCTATTCATTGTGTTCTTTGCTGTACAGAAGCTTTTCAGCTTGATATAGTCCCCCTTGTTCATTTTTGCTTTTGTTTCCCTTGCCCAGGGAGATATGTTCATGAAGAAGTTGCTCATGTTTATGTCCAAGAGATTTTTGTCTATATTNTTAGACAGTGATCCAGTTTCATTCTCTTACATGTAGCTGTCCAGTGCTGCCAACACCAGCTGTTGAAGAGGTTGTCATTTCCCCATTGTATATCTATGGCTCCTTTATTGTATATTAATTGGCCATATATGTTTGGGTTAATATCTGGACTCTCTATTCTGTCCCACTGGTCTATGGGTCTGTTCTTGTGCCAGTACCAAATTGTCTTGATTACTGTGGCTTTGTAGTAGAGCTTGAAGCTAGATGCCCCCTGCTTTATTCTTCCTTCTCAGAATTGCTTTGGTGATTTGGGGTCTTTTGTGGTTCTATATGAATTTTAACACTATTTGTTCCAATTTGTTGAAGAATGCTGTTGGTATTTTGATAGGGGTTGCATTGAATCTGTAGATTGCTTTAGGCAGGATGGCCATTTTCACAATATTAATTCTTCCTAGCCAAAACCATGTGGTGAATTTCCATTTGTTAGTGTCCTCTTTAATTTCTCTTAAGAGTGTCTTGTAGCTTCGAGGGTATAAGTCTTTCACATCCTTGGTTAGGTTTATTCCTAGGTATTTTATTCTTTTTAATGCTGTTGTGAATGTAATTGTTTTCCTGATTTCTCTTTCTGCCACTTTATCATTAGTGTATAGGAAAGCAACAGATTTCTGTATATTTTGTATCCTGCAACTTTGCTGAATTCAGATATTAGTTCTAGTAGTTAATGAGTGGATTCTTTAGGGTTTTTTATGTACAATATCATGTCATCTACAAAGAGGGACAGTTTGACTTCTTCTTTACCAATCTGGATGCCTTCCTTGTATTTCTTTGTTTTGCCTGATTGCCATGGCCAGGACCTCCAGTACTGTGTTAAATAACAGTGGGGAGAGTGGGCATCCCTGTCTTGTTCCTGATATTAGAGGAAAAGCTTTCAGCTTCTCGCTGTTAAGTATAATGTTGGCTGTGGGTTTATCATATATGGCCTTTGTTATGTTGAGGTACTTGCCCTCTATACCCATTTTGTTGAGAGTTTTTATCATGAATGGATGTTGAATTTTGTCGAATGCTTTTTCAACATCTATGGAGATGATCGCTTGGTTTTGGTCCTTCTTTTTGTTGATGTGGTGGATGATGTTGATGGATTTTTGAATGTTGTATCATCCTTGCATCCCTGAGATGAATCCCACTTGATCATGGTGTATGATCCTTTTGATGTATTTTTTAATTTGGTTTGTTAGTGTTTTGTTGAGTATTTTTGTATCTGTGTTCATCAGGGATATTGGTCTGTAATTTTCTTTTTTTGTGGGGTCTTTGCCTGCTTTTTGTACTAGAGTGATGCTGGCTTCATAGAATGAGTTTGGAAGTATTCCCTCCTCTTCTATTTTTTGGAAAACTTTAAGGAAAAGGTGTATTATGTCTTCTCTATATGTCTGATAAAATTCAGCATTGAGTCCATCTGGCCCAGGGGTTTTGTTCTTGCTTAGTTTTTTGATTACCAATTCAATTTGGTTGCTGGTAATTGGTCTGTTTAGATTTTCTGTTTCTTCCTTGGCCAGTCTTCAAAGGTTGTATTTTTCTAGAAAGTTGTCCATTGCTTCTAGTTTATCCAGCTTGTTAGCATATAGACTTTCACAGTATTTTTTCTAATAATTCTTTGTATTTCTGTGGTGTCCATTGTGATATTTCCTTACTCATTTCTGATTCTGTTCATGTGTATAGATTCTCTTTTTCTCTTAATAAGTCTGGGTAGGGGTTTATCTATTTTGTTTATTTTCTCAAAGAACCAGCTCTTGGTTTCATTGATTTTTTAAAATTATTTTATTCCTCTCAATTTTACTTGTTTCTTCTCTAATTTTTTTATGTCCCTCTTTCTGCTGACTTTAGGCCTCATTTGTTCTTTTTCCAGTTTCAATAATTATGACTTTAGACTATTCATTTGGGATTGTTTTTCCTTCTTTAAATAGTACTGAATTGCTATGTACTTTCCTCTTAGAACTACCTTCACTGCGCCTCACAGTAGCTGGCACAATTTGTTTCTATATATTGCTTGATGTCTGTTTTAATTTGGTCATTGATCCTTTGATTATTTAGGAGCATGTTGTTAAGCCTCTATGTGTTTGCATGCCTTTTTGTTTTCTTTGTACAATTTATTTCTAGTTTTATGCCATTGTGATCTGAGAAGTTAGTTGGTACAATTTCAATCTTTTTGAATTTACTGAGGTTCTTTTTGTGGCTTAATATGTGGTCTATTCTGGAAAATGTTCCTTGTGCACTTGAGAAGAATGTGTATGCTGCTGCTTTTGGGTGTAAAGTTCTGTAGATGTCTTTTAGGTCCACATGTTCTAGTGTGTTGTTCAGTGCCTCTGTGTCCTTACTTATTTTCTGTCTGGTTGATGTGTCCTTTGGAGTGAGTGGTGTGTTAAAGTCTCCCAGAATGAATGCATTGCATTCTATTTCCTCCTTTAATTCTGTTAGTATTTGTTTCACATATGTTGGTGCTCCTGTGTTGGGTGCATAGATATTTATAATGGTTATATCCTCTTGTTAAATTGACTCCTTTATCATTATGTAATGTCCTTCTTTATCTCTTGTTACTTTCTTTGTTTTGAAGTCTATTTTCTCTGATACAAGTACTGCAACACCTGCTTTTTTCTCCCTATTGTTTGCATGAAATATCTTTTCCATCTCTTGACTTTTAGTCTGTGTATGTCTCTGGGTTTGAGGTGAGTCTCTTGTAAGCAGCATATAGATGGGTCTTGCTCTTTTATCCATTCTATTTCTATTACTCTGTGTCTTTTGATTGGTGTATTCTGTCCATTATCATTTAGGGTGATTATCGATAGATTTGTACTTATTGCCATTGCAGGTTTTGTGTTTGTGGTTACCAAAGGTTCAAGGGTAGCTTCTTTACTATCTAACCGTCTAACCTTAACTCATTTATTATGCTATTATAAACACAATCTGATGATTCTTTATTTCTCTCCCTTCTTATTCTTCCTCCTCCACTCTTTATATGTTAGGTGTTTTATTGTGAACTCTTTTGTGTTTCACTTGACTGCTTTTGTGGATAGTTGAATTTTATTGTTTCCCTTTAATTAGTGTTTGGTTGGTCTGCTTTCTTTGTTGTGATTTTATTTTCTCTGCTGACATCTATTTAGCCTTAGAAGTACCTCCATGTAGAGCAGTCCCTTTAAAATACCCTGTGGGGGGGTGGTTTGTGGGAGGCAAATTCCCTCAACTTTTGCTTATCTTGAAATTGTTTAATCCCTCCTTCAAATTTAAGTGGTAATCTTGCTGGATACAGTATTCTTGGTTCAAGTTTTTTCCATTGCATAAATATATCCTGCCATTCTCTTCTGGCCTGTAGGCTTTCTTTTGAGAAGTCTGATGGTAGCCTGATGGGTTTTCCTTTGTAGGTGATCTTTTTTCTCTCTCTGGCTACCTTTAGTACCCTGTCATTGTCTTTGATTTTTGCCATTTTAATTATTATATGTTTTGGTGTTGTCCTCCTTTGGTCCCTTGTGTTGGGAGACCTGTGGGCTTCCATGGTCTAAGAGACTATTTCCTTCCCCAGATTGGGGAAGTTTTTAGCAATTATTTCTTCAAATACACTTTCTATCCCTTTTTCTCTCTCTTCTTCTTCTGGTTCCCCTATAATGTGAATATTGTTCAGTTTGTACTAGTCACACAGTTCTCTTAATATTCTTTCATTCCTAGGGATCATTTTATCTCTCTCTGCCTCAGCTTCTCTGTATTCCTGTTCTCTGATTTCTATTCCATTAACAGTCTCTTGCACCTCATCCAGTCTGCTCTTAAGTCCTTCCATTGATTGTTTCATTTCTGTTATCTCCCTCCAGACTTCATTCCTTAGCTCTTGCATATTTGTCTGCAGCTCCATCAGCATGGTTATGACTTCGATTTTGAATTGTTTTTCAGAAAGATTGGTCATATCTATCTCGCCATGCCCTCTGTCTGGTGTTGTTTTAGTGATTTTTGGCTTGACCAGATTCTTCTGCCTTTTCATGGCAGTAGAAGTGATCGCCGGCAGGTGGCACGTGTGTCAGCTGGAAGAACAAAGTCCTTCCAGCACAGACAGAGGAAGCCAGAGCAAGGTACGGAAGGCACGAAGGGGTGCTGTTCTGTCAAGAATGTTCAGTACCTCTGTTAATGACTGCAGAAAACTGGCAACAGGAACGTCCATAAATAGAGGACTGAGTAAATTATGTTACCTCCTTCAGATAGAGTATTAGCAATTAAAAAGAATAAACAAGATAAAAGTGTTAATATGAAAAGATTTCTAAGATATTCTATTAAGGGGAAAAAGCGAGATGTAGAACAAATATATATAGTAAGATCTCATTTATATTTTTTTAAATTCTCTTTTTCTCTCTCCACCCGCGTGTGCGCACACACACACGCACGCATACACGGGCACTCACAGTTGCACAGGCATAGAAATTTTCTGGAAGGATACTGGAGTAAGTGGAACTGGTGTGGGAAACTTTTCATTTTATGCCTTTGGTTCTATATGAAAGCTTTTCTCATTTTGGACATACTGCTTTTATAATAGTAATGTTAAGATCACTTAAAATTTTAAATTAAATGATAACCTTTGCACTTGTTGATGTTTAGCTTCTCCTAGGTTTTTTCGCCTTTCTGGTTCCTCTGGCTCCACTTTCTCTCCGAGCATTTCTCATACCCTTACACATTTATTCTGGACTTCTCATCTTTGGGATAGTGATCGCATCAGCACTTACAGGAGTGACTGAGAAACTGTTTTTTGCCCTGTAAGTTGCATAGTTTTCCTAATTCTAATACTTAAGCTATAAAATGTTAAGTACTTGTTCATTGGAAAAATGTAATATAAATGTCTATATGTAAATATAAACATTGTTAAGTATTTTTTAACAAGTTTATGATACATGTAATATATAATTACTAATGGTTGGAAGAGGAATAAAAAAATCCAACAAATTGTACCACTGTTGCAAAACAACTATTGAAGTTATGCATCCCCTTTCAGTCTTTTTGACATGCCTGTTTTTATGTTAATTGTGATAATGGTGTATATACATTTCTGCATCATCCTTTTGGTGATACAGGTGTTCCAGATGCTATGTTATTTTCATTTTTAATTATTTTTAACAATTTTACACTATTCCATTGAGTGAATTAAGGCAAAACTGAATTTTCTCCTTAATATCAAGCTTTAAGGGAATTTACATCAAAACTATACCAATGTACATTTTGAGCAGATAAATTCAAGACTGTTTGGCATGTTATTGTATCACCCCATTTGTAATTGGACACACTTTCTCTTTTTTTGTAGGACAAAACCTGCATACAGTACATTCCCACCAGAAGGTGTTTTCACAAATACCCTTGGCCTTCTGATTCTGGTATTTGGGGCCCTTATTTTTTGGATAGTCACCAGACCACAATGGAAACGTCCTAAAGAACCAAATTCTGTCCTCCTTCAGCCAAATGGAGGCACTCCAGAGGGAGTGGAAGGTTCCATGGCAATAAACTTTGGCAAAGCAGATTCAGAGTCAAACAATGAAGCAGCAGCAAGGAAAAGAAATTTACCCCTTGATGAGGCTGGACAAAGATCTACCTTGTAAAACGTTGTAGAGATGTAACTGGAGAACTTCACTTCTGAAGACTAGCTCTGCAGTTTAGCTTCTCACAGTTAGCCATAAAATGATTGACTGAGTCAAATTTATTTTACTCATAAAGTAGGATTTCTTGAAAGATTTTGCATTGATTGAGGCCTGTGAACTTACCTGAATTGGAAAGGAGATGATCAATGTAAACAATAGCAGATATAAATCGTGGTTTTGTTACCTCTTTCTTGTAGGACACCAAAGCATTTAGCAGTGTTTTTCATATAACACATGATCAAAATGGGTCTCTCAGTTGGTAAATTTGATGAACTGGCAGCATCCCTGGCCTCTTGTCTTGCAGTTATTTCCTGTTAATTCTGGGAGTCCAGTCCTAAAGTTATAGAGTCATATCATGACTATCCAGGACAGAGTTCATAGCTACACAGATATCATGACTGAAGTACAGAAAACAATTTAGGAAAGCAATGGTTCCCTTTTCCCTGCACCTGCCTGCTGGTCCCTCCCCAGCTTGTTTGGGCTCAGATTGGCCCTGAAGACCAGGGTGTATAATAGGGCATTTTGGAGCAGTACCTTGGCTGTAAGTAGCAGAAGAGATCTTCTCTGGTCACACCAGGAAGTTTTTCTAAAACTTGACTTAGACCCAAGGCTTCCCTGGGGTTGGGTGTACTTTATGGTACAGATTCCAAACTCAATTGGAATGAGAAAATGCCTGAATGCTTAAGCAGCATAAACTGCTCTACAACTTCAAAGAGAACTTTTTCCTAATTTTTGTTTTTATTTTATAAAGCACTTACATGGCTTTTACTATGTGCCAGACACTATTTCTAAGCACTTTATAAATATTAGCTCATTCAGTCCCCAATCAAAGCTATGTGCCATTTGCTATCAGTATCTCCATTTTGCAGATGAGAAATCTGAAGCTTAGAGAGGTTAGTAACTTGCCCCAATGTCCCACAGCTCCTAAGTGGTGGAACTGAGATTCATGACTTGGCAGTCTGGCTCCTCAGTTCATGATCACTTCACTATGCTATCTTTATTTTTTTTCTGTTATATACTAATTTGCCCCTACTTTGACCTACCCCTGGATAAATCTCAGTTGTTGGAGTGCCATGGAATTGTTAAAGTTTACTTTCTGGCTTTCTTTTCCAAGGCAGATTCCCCAAATACCTGGAAATAGATCGTGGGCACCCTCCCACTGCCAACAGCCATAGCCTACCTTGATGCCCTTTTGATCTTAAAATTGTGTCATGGTGACAAAGAAAGGTTTGGACAAGAACAGCTGCAGCTTGAAGTTTGACCAATTATAATTTCTATTGTTCAGGATCTTAACTGCTAAACAACTTTGGACTTGGAGATAGAGACTTTACCTATATTGGTCTGCCTTTCCTGGGGGCAAAAAAAAGGGTCCTTCCTGATTCTGGTGGGATTTCAGGGGATGCCTTGAGTTTTGGGTTCTCCGCAGTGAATTGAGACTCAGAAGTGGAGACTTTTGTGTATGAAGACTTCAGTCTAGGCTCTGGGCTGACTCAAATTAAAACTTAAAGAGTAGCATCCATACTGAAAAGATGCTTTTCATTTTGTGGGTGATTTTGGTTTCCTTGCAATTTTTTTTAAAGACAACCACAGCTTTTTATTATCTATCATGATCTGTGGTTGGCTGAGCTCAATAGGGCAGTTCTTCTTCTCCAAATTGGCAGGAGCTGCAGTCATCTGGAGGCCCAACTGGCCAGACATGTGCAAAGTGGCTCACTCACACAGCGGGCAGGTGGCGCTGGCTGTCAGCCCGGAGCGCAGAGGAGGCTGCCAGCCTGAGCTTCAGGGACCATCTCCATGTGACCTCTCACCATGGCCCAGGTTTCCCACCGCATGGCAACTGGGTTTCCCTGCAATTTTAAACTAGAACATTTTAGTGTGGATTAAAAACCTTATAGTTTACACCAAATACACAACGTTTTGGTACCTAGTGGATTTCTTTTTAGGTTAACTGGTAATTACTACCATAGACTGAATATAACCTGCACTCCATCACATCCCTTTAGTTTCATGGATAACCATTCATCATTCCCTCATTGAAACACTATTTTCTCCTTACTTAATTCTATTTCCAAAATTGGTAATAGTGTCATAAGGATCCCCAGTGCCCAGTCGAGAGCCTGATACACAGTAGGCACAGTTCATTATGGGTAGAACATGCTACAGTTTTGGTGCTAAGTGGAAGGAGTTAATTGCATCATTACACACAAACATATTTTGATAAATGGATGTTCCATTACATAGAGATGCACAAAATTCCAGGATTTTTTGGTGGGAGTGGGGGGAAGATCAGTGACGGCTCCAAGGATTGAACCTGCCATTCCTATATAGGCCAAGGAGATTATTAATGAAAAGTTAAGAATGGATCTGGCACTACACTGATATACTCCACCGCGAAGCATTTGAGCACCTCTCATCTCAGCCCTTTATTTTTATCTCTCTGGCTAATCTGGGGTAATTTTACAGATATTGTAGGAACTTCCTTTTTTTTCCCTCAACCATTATGAAAACAATGCAGTAAAATATAGAAAGTCTTTCTGTTTGAGACTCTTCTTTTAATGGGATTTTTATTTTAATGATAATTGTAACTTTATCTTTCAAAAGCTGATGTTTCCTACCTAAAGTGTCCCCCTCCCCATTTAAAAACCTACATAAAGAAAAGGAGAGAAGAAAGCCTTAACTTTCATCTCTAAAACAGTGAATGAAATCTCCCTAAATAATTATAGCTTATATCGTCTGCAGAGATAGCCTGGCTTGACCTACCCCATAATCTAATTTCAGAAAAAAAAAGTTATTTTAAACCCTCACCTAAATCAACACTGCAGCCTTTTCTTTCAAAGAGTTATTGAAAAACTCATATGAATATGTTTTTGAACTACTATTATCAGAAGTGTACAGCTTCCGGCGCTACTTGTGTCCAACTGACCCCACCCTCCGGAGCACTTCCTTTCCTTTCCTGTGTGGTTTCAGTTAAGCTGTGCTGCTCACAAACAGGATCTCACACCTTCCAGTCAAATGACAAAGACAATCACACTTTTTAAGGAATACTGACAAGTGGTTTCTGTTTTCTGAAGAACAAAATAAAGATGTCTTGTTTTTAACTAGGCTCTTTTCCCTGCTAAGTGGGAAGTTCCAGTGCAATACCAGTTGACCACAACTGCCAAATCTAAAGGCTCAAAGAATGAAGTAAAGCTTCATGCTAATTTTGTTGTAATATGATGGAATTTTTGTCTTGGTATGTCCTCTTTTAGATAACTGTTACTGAAAGCTGTAACTGCTGTGTCTTAGAGCTACACATAAGAAAGTATAAAAGAATACTGTTATTATTGATCACCTACAAGGTACCTGAAAACTTTAAGTGGAAACGATTTCTATGCTTAAATTTGCCCTTTTATCTCAGCACATTTATGGGGAAAATATTAAATAGCCTGAATATTTTATAATTTTATAGAAAAAATGCATCTGTTTTTTTCTTGACTTGTTTTTATGTAGTAATAAAAGCTATTTTGGAAGATATTTGTGTGTGTCGTCAATTTGTTCAACCTGGTAGGTGTAGGAAGTGTTCTTAAAGTTTTTTTCCCATGGTTTTTCATCTATTTTTCAATGGGGAATTTTTTTTTTTACTTTTTTTAAAAGTAAGGTATCATTGATATACACTTTTATGAAGGTTTCACAAGAAAAACAATGTGGTTATTATATTCACCCTTATTGTCGAGTCTCCCCCATATCCCATTGCAGTCACTGCCCATCAGTGTAGTAAGATGCCACAGAGTCCCTGTTTGTCTTCTCTGAACTATACTGTCTTCCCTGTGGCCCCACACACACCATGTGCACCAATCATGATACCCCACAATCCCCTTCCTCCTCCCTCCCCACCCACCCTCACCCATCCCTCCCCTTTGGTAACTACTAGTCCCTTCTTGGAGTCTGTGAGTCTGCTGTTATTTTGTTCCTTCAGTTTTGCTTCATTATACTCCACAAATGAGGGAAATTATTTGGTATTTGTCTTTCTCTGCCTGACATTTCACTGAGCATAATACCCTCTAGCTCCATCCAAGTTGTTGCAAATGGTAGGGTCTGTTTCTTTCTTATGGCTGAATAATATTCCATGTGTATATGTACCACCTCTTCTTTATCCATTCATCTACTGATGGACACTTAGGTTGCTTCCATTTGTTGGCTATTGTAAATAGTGCTGCAATAAACAGGGGTGCATATGTCTTTTTGAATCTGGGAAGTTGTTTTCTTTGAGTAAATTCCTAGAAGTGGAATTCCTGGGTCAAATGGTATTTCTATTTTTAGTTTTTTGAGGAACCTCCATATTGCCTTCCACAATGGTTGAACTAGTTTACTTTCCCACCAGCCGTGTAGGAGGGTTCCCCTTTCTCCACATCCTTGCCAACATTTGTTGTTCCTAGTCTTTTCTATGTTGGCCATCCTAACTGGTGTGAGGTGATATCTCATTGTGGTTTTAATTTGCATTTCACTGATAATTAGTGATGTGAAGCATCTTTTCATATGCCTGTTGGCCATCTGAAATTCTTCTTTGGAGGAGTGTCTGTTCATATCCTCCACTCATTTTTTAATTGGGTTAATTGCTTTTTGGGTGTTGAGGCAGGCATATGAGTTCTTTATATATTTTGGATGTTAACCCCTTGTGAGATATGTAATTTACAAATAAATTCTCCCATACGGTAGGATGACTTTTTGTTCTGCTGATGGTGTCCTTGGCTGTACAGAAGCTTTTCAGCTCAACGTAGTCCCATTTGTTCATATTTTATTTTGCTTCCCTTGCCCAAGGCGATGCATTCAGGAAAAGTTGCTATAGACAAGAGATTTTTGCCTATGTTTTCTTCTAAGAGTTTTATGGTTTCATGACTTACATTCACATCTTTGATCCATTTTGAATTTATTTTTATGCATGGGGTTAGACAATAATCCAGTTTCATTCTCTTGCATGTAGCTGTCCAGTTTTGCCAATACTAGATTTTGAAGAGGTTGTCATTTCCCCATTATATATCCATGGCTCCTTTATCATATACATTAATTGACCTTATATGCTTGGGTTTATATCTGGGCTCTCTATTCTCTTCTGCTGGTCTATGTGTCTGTTCTTGTGCCATTACCTGATTCTCTTGATTACCATGGCTTTGTAATAGAGCTTGAAGTCAGGGAGCATAATACCCCAGATTTATTCTTCCTTCTCAGGATTTCTTTGGTTAATCAGGGTCTTGTGGTTCCATATGAATTTTAGAATGATTTGTTCTAGTTCATTAAAGAATGCGGTTGGTATTTTGATAGCAATTGCATTGAATCTATAGTTTGCTTTAGGCAGGATGGCTATTTTGACAATATTAATTCTTCCTATCCATGAGCACAAGATGTGTTTCCATTTATTGGTATCTTCTTTAATTTCTCTCATGAGCGTCTTGTAGTTTTCAGAGTATAGGTCTTTCACTTCCTTGGTTAGGTTTTTCCTAGGTATTTTATTCTTTCTGATGCAGTTGTGAAATGGAATTGTTTTCCTGATTTTTCTTTCTGCTAGTTCATCATTAGTGTATAGGAATGCAACAGATTTCTGTGTATTAATTTTGTATCATACAACTTTGCTAAATTCAGATATTAGATCTAGTAGTTTTGTAGTGGATTGTTTATGGTTTTTTATGTACGACATCATGTCATCTGCAAACATCTGCAAGTTTAACTTCTTGCTTGCCAATCTGGATGCCTTTTATTTCTTTGTGTTTTCTGACTGCTGTGGCTAGGACCTCCAGAACTATGTCAATGGGGAAACTTTAAAAAAAATTATTTATTGAAAATGCTGTCAGATTTCCCTCAAAAGTGTACTTTGAGTACCATACCTTTTACATTGCTGGAAGGATCAGAAGACTGTTTCAGAACTGCCATAGTGTTCTCCTTCTCACAGGATATGCACTGGAGCGTACTCTGTAGTGTAGAAGGCAACCACAGACCAAAACAGATTCATTTTTAAGTTGAAAAGCATGAAAGAAGAACCTATTGAAAGTTCCTGTTGTAACAGAACTGAGTTGATAGTAACTTGTCCTGGAGAAAATACATAACTTATAATGGATATATTGTTGGATTTTTTTCTAAATAAGAAAGAAGGATCATTAACATCTACATAGTGTCAATCCTTATCAACCTAATTTTAATTTCTCACTTAGCCTTTTTTCTTCTACTTTTGTCTCCAGGTGTAGGGTAAATGGCAGAATTTCCAGAATCTCCCACCTAGCCTTCATCCATTTACATACCAATGGATGTTTCAGAGCCTCCAGTGGATCAGGGCACGGGGTGAATCTCTCCTCCCCTTTGTTCCTGATATGGAATTAGTCTGGTGTCTGCCAGTCACCAAGGACTGGCCCATGGAGTTCCTCTCAGAGTGGACAGGCAGGGGGAAGTGGGTGTACACGCTGTGGCCAAAAGGGAGGGACAGAGCTGGGCCTGGCTAGTGAATTCAAGCAAGCTGTGAGCAATAAAAATGGTTTCTCCCAACCTGCCCTTTCTCTTGCCTTACTTTGGTTCCAGCAGATTCATAGGGGAATCTCTTCAGGAGGGGAACCCCCTTACTCTTGGAACTACATTTGGCATAGACTCAGAAGGGTCAAGTGAACCCAAAAGCTGTCTTTACGTGTGTGATGTTTCAGTGGGCTACCCCTACAGGTGGTGGGGAAATGCCTTTGGATCCCCCTATGGGATGGGGAGAGACACCTGGGAAATGCCCTCTGGGTGGTGGGAATTTATCCATGGACCCTCCTGTGGATGGTGGGCATTCACCCAAGGATCCCCCTGTGGAAGGTGGGGATTCACCCATAGATTATGCAGTGGGTATTTGGTCTGGCGCAAGGTGCCTCCTGGAGGAGTAAGCCCCTCCCCAGAATTGGGAAGGGTCACTGGAAGCAGTGGAGTTGGACCTCTACAAAATAGGGGACTCCTTAGGGAAAGTGAGTGGTCACAGGGCAGCAGGAAATGTGGGGTGGTTGTTTCTTGCAGCATTGGAAAGGATTACCAGGAAGAGAGAGACATTTTAGCATCAATTATCAGAACAGGGAGATGAGGTGTGGGATGCTCTGAAAAGGGAATTGAAAGCTATTGAGAACTGAAATTTCATGACTGAGAGACAGGCCAGTGGCTCATGAGGAGGCAGCAGAAATATGCAAGCTGCAAGAGGTGAAGGAAGGGGTGGGGCATCAGCCCCAGAAATGGTAGAGGAGACATCAGGGGAGGAGGAGCTGAGGAGGATGCCGGCTTGGGGCTGAGGGTGGAATTGTAACCGAGGCCACTGCCTGAGGCACCAGCACCTCCCACATTGAAAACCCACTGAGTTCTAAATAAGAAAATAAATTCAACAACCACAGGTTCCTCAGGGAAAGGAGCAGCCCCCTCCCCAGGTTGTGTAGCGCTCCAGGCTCCACCTATACCCAGGACGAGCTGGTGGATTTGAGCACCCAGTTTTTTGAGCACCTCAGAGCCTCTGCCCACCTGGCTTTTGTGTCTTTGGGATTTAGGAGTAGATGTCATTGATCTGTCTGGGTCAGAAATAGGTAAACTGGCTTCCTTGATGACTCGCCCCTCTCTCTGGCAGAGGTTGCAAAATGTCCATCACACCACAGGGAATCACACTTCTGGATTGTCTGACAGCAGCCATCATGGAAGTTGGGCCTAATCAGGGTGGTTTACCATATTTCCCCACGAGCTGGAAAACATATACAGAGCTCCAGCAGGTTTTACAGGAATTGGGCATGAAAAATATCATCTATAATATGGACTCTCAGGACCCCAAAGAGGAGTTGTTCACCATGGGTATGAAAAACCTGGTGCTCCATACAGGTCCCTCATCCATCTTTGGGTCCCTACTGACTATTCCTGAGTCAACATAGGGCAACCCAAAAGTGAGGTTACTCATACTATAGCAGATCTGGGGGAGGTTGGAACAATAAGAGTGTGGAAAATACATTCTGCTATTGAAAGAAGAGGTTCAAAGGGCCCCATGAAGGTCTCGAGGACCCAGATGTGGGTCAGTTTGATAAACACAGGGGCAGTGAAAGAAAAACTTGATGGACAGCCCAATAGGATCTTGCTAGAGCTGTGGCATCAATTAAAGCTGGAACAGTAGTTCCAGCTGCTGAGGTCCAGAACACAGGAGCTAGAGGCAAAGCCCCCTGTTCAGCCCATGTATCTGCAGGACTTCCTGGGGGAGAGACCCTGCCTGGGTCCCCACCCACACAGGAAAGGCAATTGGGCATTGCAGTTTGACTGAGTGGGGGAATCAGACTGAGGATACGTGTGGTAAAGGCAGTTCTAACAGGACATGCTAAGCACTCACCTGGAGCTCTGCTTGTACTTGGAGGGTGACAAATACTAAGCAGTATAAATTGCCTTGGGGGCATAAAGAAATTGGAGAAACTCTATAGGAGCTAGAGAAGGTGGGCATCATAAAGCCCACTTACATAGTCCTTTTAATTCCCCAGTGTGGCCAGTGAAAAAGCTGGACGGCT